AAGTGCCCTCCTCCATGCCCATCCATGATACATTCTTAAGTTATAATATAAATGCCAATAAACTTCAAATGGTATAGTCAACATAGACATAGTCTTAATTGAATGACACACACTACTAAGATTTAAAATTTAACAAAAATATCACATAGAGTTAAAGATGTATCTTAAATGTATTGTCCTTGGGGCACCTGGGTGGCTCAGTTGGTTAAGCATATGACTTCAGCTCAGGTCATGATCTTGGGGTTCATAAGTTCAAGCCCTGCATCGGGCTCCCACTGAGTGCAGAGGCTGCTTGGAATTCTCTCTCTCTCCCTCTTTCTCTTTGCCCCTCTCTGCTTGTGCTCTCTCTCTCTCAAAATAAATAAACTGATAAATTAATAAATAAATATATTGTCCTTCAATGCAGAATATTAAGGTCTGATCATGTTTAATCCAGAGCGCCTTGTGCAGTGGAATAGCATACAGTAGATTCTAAAAGATTCTCATTTGAAAGCAAACTATAACCCTGAGAAACTTAATATTTTAACTTTTTATTTTGAAATGATTTTAGGCTTAAAAAGTATTACAAAAAATTGTAAGGAGATTTCCCATATTCCCTTCTCCTAGCTCATCCTATATTAATATGTTACATAACCATATTAAAGTTATCAATACTAAGAAATTAACATCATTGCAATGCTATTAACAAAACTATAGACTTTATTCAGATTTCCACTAGTTTTTCACTGACATCATTTTTTCTGTTCACAAATTGAATTTGGTTCGAATGTTGCATTTCCTTGTTTTGTCTTTTTACTCTCCTCCAGTATGTGAAAGATTGTAAGACTTTCCTTGTTTTCCATCTTCTAGGACTCCTAGCACTTTCAAAGAGCTTTGGTCAGCTATTTTGTAGAATGCTCCCCAGTTTGGGTTTTTCTGATGTTTTCTTGAGGTTATGGATTTGGAGAAAGAGCACCACATCAATGAAGTGCCTCATGCTTGATGTTTTTCTACTTCCCTTGTTCCTTCTAAATTCCATAATTGGAAATCTTCTTCAAGGAAGAGTTGTCCCTTCACCATTAAATAGTTTGTTTTTGTCATTAGCTTAGACATAGAAATAAATATTTATTTCATTTTTTGGTTACAATTCATCATTATCATTATATTTTTGCTTGTCAGATCATTCCAGCTTTGGGCACTGGGGTTCTTTCAGACACTCTTTCCAAGTGTCTTTGGACACTTGGCTCCTGTGTCTTTTCAACACATCCCATTCTTTCTCTTATTGAAACTTCCTTACTTTCTAGGACTACACAATGTTCCAGAAATAACTTATATTTTCTTTGTGTCACCCCTAGAATCCACCACTTTTCTAAGAAGACCTGGTTCCTTTTATTGGAGAATGTGATTTAGAAATCAACCTCAGGGCACTACATTCACTCATGAAGACTGGAATGTCACTGTGTGTAGGTGTACTCAGAAGACAGAGCTAGGAAATATATGTATGCCTACTAACCTGTGTATACACACACACACATTTTTTTCCCATAGTGATACCTCCGGTCCACTTGAGGACCACAGGTTTTATTTCTATTCCCTCTATGTCAAGCAATGTTCCTTATCCATAATATATTTGCTTATGTATTCAAGTATAGATATCAAGTATTTCAAAAATTTTAATGCATACTCTTGTGAGAAGTAATTTTATGAATAGAGTTTGTGTACATTTGTTTTTGTTTCTAGCTTACAGCCTCCAATGAAAATGTTGTTTTCTAAAGTTATTTAGGCCAGGGGTGCCTGGGAGGCTCAGTCGGTTGAGGATCTGACTTTGGGGGCCGTCATGATCTCACAGTTCATGGTTTTGAGCCCTGTGTCAGGCTCTGTGCTTACTGCTCAGAGCCTGCTTCAGATTCTGTGTCTCCCTCTCTCTCTTTCTCCTCCCCTGCTCGTGCTCTGTCTCTCTCTCTCTCAAAAATAAATAAACATCCAAAAAAATTTTTTAATTAAGTTAGTTAGGCCAGATCGTCTCTTTCCCACCCCCACAATTGGTTATGTCCTTCATTTGAAATAAAGTTCAATTCATTTGTCACAGTCTACATTCCATCTTGCATTTCCTCTATATGTTGGTAGATGTTTCTATTTGCATATAGTAAAACTCACTCATTTTTTGTACAGTTCTATGGGTTTGACAAGTTCATAGAGTTGCATATTTGCCAACCCCAATACAAAACAGCTATATCACCCCCAAAATTACCCTGTGCTCTTCCTACCTCATGTTCTGGAAATCAATAATTCATCCCTTTAATTTTGCCTTTTCTGAAGTGTCATATGAATGAAATCATCATAAAATCTAAAGCCTTGAAGTCATTCTTCTTTCATAAAACAACAGACTGTTGTTTTATGTTGCTAAGTAGCATTCCATTTTATGGTGGTACCATTAGTATATTAACCTGTATAACACATCAGGGTTCTTTCCAGTTTTTAGTGATTATCCATAAAGCTGCTCCAAACATTTGTGCACAAGTTTTTGCATGGAGATAATTTTTGAATTCATCTTGGGAAACAATAGGGAGTAAGACTGCTAAATCATACAGTAAGGCATAGTCAAAGTATTTTGTAAGACATAGCCAACTTATTTTCTCAGAGTGGCTGTACATCCCCACCATCAATGTATGAAAGTTCCAGTTGTTGTTTACATTCACTGGTTCATGGTATTGTCAGATATGGGTTTTTTTCTGTTTGTTGTTGTTGTCATTGTTGTTGTAATACCTTTGTAGTAATATCTCATTCTGGTTTTAATTTGAATTTTTCTGATGACTAATGATATTGTGCATCTTTTCAAATTCTCATATATCATCTGTATAGCATCTTTGGTAGTGTCTTCTCAGATTCTTGGCCAAGTTTTTATTGTGTTTATTTTCTTATTGTTTATTGTCTTATTGCTTTGAGAGTTATTTATATGGTCTAGATAAAAATCCTTACACATACGTGATTTTCAAATATCTTCTCTCACTATGGCCTGTCTTTGCATTCTGATAAAAGTGTCTTTCATAGAGCAATTTTATTTAATTTGAATATAATGCAATTTACTTTTTTTGTTGTTATGGATTTTTCTTTGACTATCATGTCTAAAAACATTTGTCAAACCCAAAGTCAAATGAATGTCAATCCATTTGAAGTTAATATTTTGGAAAGCATAAGGCATGTTTAAAGGATTTTGTTCTGTTTTGCATATGGATGTCCATTGTGTCATCACCATGTGTTGAAAAGATTATCCCTGCTCAGAGCAGAAATCTTGTATCCCCTGCCAACATTCATGAACTTTGGTAGGCTAACTTACTAGCCTACACAGAGGGTAGAACCTCGAACCCTTCATCATTTTTGACCACAAAGAGTTTTTCTGTCTTGAAGTAGTAATGTCTTTCCTTGTGCTTGGCCTTCACTAGATGCGATTGAGTTAATCTAATTAAGGAACTGAATGGGTTTTAAGTTTGCTGTTGCTCTGTTAGTTTCAGTATACTACAGACTTTAAATTCCTTTAGGGATTGTTTTGTTTAGTATAGGAGTTGATTTGCCGAAATTTTCTCCCAATATCCGTTCCACTCTGAACTTTAGGGCTTTCCTTTGTGTTACACCTCAAAGATGTTCTGTTTCTTGTAAATAATTGTTCATTGATTCAACACTTCTTAACCCTGTGGTGCAGGCAGACCAGTATATGTTATTTTGATTATGTGTAAATATTAAGAAGACACTCTATCTCTGAGTCTCCAGGATATGATTTCCTCAATGCCCCTCCCCTTCCCAGTGCAGTTTTGAGTTCAGCATTCATTTCCCATGGGTAGAGGGTTCACTGCCTGTTCCTTTACCTCAGATGTAATAATGTATTTTCACCAGTGTCTAAGGGTAACAACTTGTCCTTATCCAATAGATCAAAGATCTTTTTCCTTAGAGGAAATAAGGGAGAAAATCTCAGAGTTCCTTCCTGTTCCTATATTGGCTTCAGTTCTCTTTTCCTGTGTTCTCTTCTTTTCTTCTCCTTCCTCACATTGCAATTTCTCTAGTCTTTCCTCAGCTTTTTGTGAGTACTAGGTGGAGTCTGTGCATCCCTGGCAAACTTGGCATGCAAATATTTGGCAATCATCCTGCCTTTTTTTTTTTTTTTTAATAAGGGTCCAGGAACAGTTTGTCCAATTAAGCAAGTGGTTTGTTTTTGTCTCACACCTGCAAATGGTCTCTTCTTAGAATTTGTGCCCTTCAACCTCCATACTCAGATAGGTTCAAAAAGAAGTTGGGAATCTCCTGTTTGGCTTTTTTGTTGTTGTTGTTGTAAACAATGATACTCTGTATCTCTGAGCATAAACTGAGAGTCAGTCCTTTTTTTGAAATTCAGTTTCAAAAAGCAACTATCTAGAAGTCTGTAACCCTTTTTACTTTGAAAGACTCTCAATAATAATTTGGAATTACAAATTATAATAATTCTCCTTAATAATTCAATGATTAGGTGGGGCTGTGTGGATTCACTTGAATGCATAAAGACAAGAGTCCTAAAGACTAGTTGGAACATCAAAGCCTTCAGCAACTTACTGAATATTTCTGTGCCTCTGTGACTGAATTTGAAAAGTAATAATAACAAATTTTCCATTTAGCTCTAGCAGTATGGTAAGGAGTTAAGAACTAAAAGTGTTTTGATATCCCCAAAAGGTAATAAAAAAAAAGTTCATAAACAAAATAATTGTTTTTCTTTCTGATTGCTAACTGAATTGACCTGACAGCTTGATTTAGTATAAATAATAACAAGACTACCTAACCTAGAACAGCAAATCTGAGGACAAAGAACAGAGTGTATCTAACAAATTACATTAAGTAGCATTTTAAAAGTTAAATCACTAAAATTATTTCTGACCCTTAAAATACATTTACATTTGAAAAATAAGATAGAGATTCAAAAATTATGAGGGAGGGGTTCTGAATATGGAATATAAATTGTAATTAAAATTAAGCAACAGAAATATCTGGGACATTACCTGAGCTTTCAAACTCTCCATGCAGAATGCCATGAGAAACCACCAAAATTTCCTTTCCTTTAACACCTTGCATGCTAACTTGACAGACCCCTCTCCTACTAGGATAGAAATCACCAATTAATGACAGTTATAAGATAAAATGGGACATTCAAAGTTATAAAGAGGCTGACTAAACAACAAATTTGAAAATTGTTTGGCAGCAAAGGATAAGAGGGCTTAAGGAGTCATTATAAGAGAGACTTAAGGATAAGTAGGAGGCAAATGATAATTACAATTTAATCCTGTATAATAATGCAAAGGTTAGAAGTCGTATACAGTAACTTGCAGTATATTATTTTAATGTTTCATTACTGTGATGGAGAGGATCTGACATGCAGATTGATTTGATGCAGGTCACCCCATCAGCTCTTCTATCTAAGTGGATAAATCTCTCATTGGGCACTTATGGCTGTAGATTGTCTGACTCTGAACTATTATATCGAGAAAAACTGTCCTGTACCAGATGTGTTTCATTCTACTTATTACTGTGACCTAGAACTACTTTGATCTTACAAAACTTTAACTTTGATGATTAAAACTTATATGAAACAAGGAACATTTATATAGAATAAATTCTAAAGCTCTAGATACTCATATCCCTAACATAGATCTAGTAAAAAGAGTTATTTTTATAAAAAACATGAAAACTGATTTGTTCTCTATAACTGAGGTAATGGAATACGTTATGAATTCAGACTAATGACCTTAAATTGTTTTGTGACTTTGAAGAATTTCTTTTGAAAAAGACATATTTAATATAACAAATATTTTTATCACTGTTTTTTACCTGTGAAATAAACTCTCAATTCTGTTATTCGAGATGTGTGAAGACTCTGGGCCAAGTGTTTTTCCCAGGTCAATTTCACCTGATTTTCTTAAGTAAAAGTATACTGCAGAAAATCTAAGTACTAACTATTCCTTAGAATTCTACTCAGCTTTCCTTTTTATCTTATAATTTATAAGGTAAACTATATGGATAAATTAATGATCTAAGAGCAATAATATGCTTAAAATGAAATACAGCAGTCCCTGCCTTATTTTCTTACCTATCGAATTGACCACAACCTACATTCTTCTGATGTTTATCAACATATTTTTATACTACTCTTTTGATTTCTTGATCCTAAGTAGCATCCAATGTATTTATGTTTTAGAAGTTGAGAATTTAACTCTTTTATATCTCTGCCTCATTCTTACCTTCCCGATAGAGTTAAGTCACATTTTTTGGTTAAATTATTGGTTAATGTTTAACTGTTTAGTTACCCTAAGATATTGCTTACTTCTATGCCATATATAGCAAAATGATTACCTTTGTTTTTCTATGTTTTATGTGTTTAATCAACCAAGTAAAACTGAATCACTTGCCATCTTCATTTTTGCTACTCTTGCCACAATCCTTTTTCACTTTATTTGAATGTTATCAGTGAAAAAGCTCAGAATAGTTTCTCCTTTCTCTGAAAGCAACAAAGCATTCCCTATTCTTTCAATATGTCCTTAATTTGGCTTAAAGTAAGTGACATTTATTAATCATCATTTATTGAATGTCTATTTTTATTTTTTTAATTTTAATTTTTATGTCTTTATTATTTTCCTTTGAGAGAGAGAGAGACAGAGCATGAGCAGGGAAGGGACAGAGAGAGAGAGAGAGACAGAATCTGAAGGAGGTTCCAGGCTCTGAGCTGTCAGCACAGAACCTGACATGGGGCTTGAACCCATGGACTGTGAGATCATCACCTGAGCCTAAGTCGGATGCTTAACCGACTGAACCACCCAGGCACCCCTGAATGTCTGTTTTTATTAGACAAATTTGAAGCAAGGTTCATGCATTTACTGTGACAATTTCTCTAGTCCTTTATATAGATTATTAATTTGCTAATTCAAAATTTTGCCTTTGAGTGTATCTGGTTTTACATGATCAGCACTTCTAATGTTACAAGTACCTCTGGCGGCTTTCAAGATTTTTAGGATATAAGAAATCATTAACAAAATATCATCATAACCTCTAAAAAGCTACAAATATATTCAAATCATTCAAGAGATTGTTAAACAACTTAAACACAGATAGTTGAAAAAAAAGGAACATTTAGGAATGTTGAAGAAAGTAAAATAGTTTTTGAACGTTTAATACAGAACACACATAATTTAATTCGAGTTGTGTTACTTTGAGCTTCTATAACAAAATATCATAGACTGAGTGGCTTATAAACAACAGAGATTTATTTCTCACAGTTTTGTTTCCCAAAGGTCCCACCTCCTCATGCTATTAACACTGGAGTCAGGTTTCAACATACAAATCTGAGGTGGGAGGTGGGGATACTATTCACTTCAGAGTTGTTAATGGAGAACTGACATGGTGGCGTCCTGTCAATCACACTCCCAGACTGCTAAGACAACCTGAGCTCCCTGGAGCTGCACCAGCGGACCCCATCTCCCTAGTTCTCCTAACTCCGCTAGGCAGCTCCGCACAACTGCCTGGTGTCACCACAGCACGCAAGCCTGCCATCATGGCCCAGGGCTTTTTTACTTCTCTTTAAACTTTGTATTTTAGGGGTGCCTGGGCACCTCAGTCAGTTCAGACTCTGACTCTTGATTTTGGCTTAGGTCATGATCTGACCGTTAGTGGCTCCCGCTGACAGTGCGGAATCTGCTTGGGATTCTGCCTCCCTCTCTCTCTGCCCCTCTCCTGCTTGCTCTCTCTCTCTCTCTCTCTCTCTCTCTCTCTAGCTAGCTAGCTAGCTCAAAAAGAAAAAGAAAATAAACTTTAAGCTTTGTATTTTGTCCTTTTGTTCGTGTCGCTATTTCTCACCTCCTCAACCCCCCTCCCCCGCCCCGCCTAGCCACTGTCCTTTCGAAGGATGAGCATTGAGAATACCCCCTTCTCATTGTGTAGAGCTAAAGGGAAGCCTCAAACCATCCAGAGCTCACACCCAGACATAATTGGGACCTGTGGACTTGAGTCAAGGAGGATTTGGGAGTAGATGTCTCTGGTATGGGGACGCAGATGCACATGGAGCATGTGTGTGCATGCATGTTGAGTACGTGTATGGAGCATGTGTGTGCATGCATGTTGAGTATGTGTGTTCTTGGGCAAGGGTGTTCTGCTCTCTACTGTGCTGTGGTCTCGGACCCCATCCCTGGCCAGAGCATTCCCTTCTGTGGAGGAGAGGTGCTGGCCTAGTGAGGGAGCCACATCTGGGATCCACTTGCTTCGCTGTCCTTTCCCCACCATCCCTTCATCCCTCACCTCTCCAATATCTGAAAGTGTTTAGAATTCTTTTGTCTTTGTGGTTTTGATCTTCCTACTTCACCTCCTGCACAGGTAGTTCACAGAAAGACATCCTAAGGTGAGGCGAGGTTTGGTTTGAGCAGATGTGCAGTCTTTGAGGAGAGAGTATGTGTATGTTGCTCATCTGCAGATTCTCTGCCCACCCTCCCCCCACTTGCATCTCCCCATTCCTCCAATGAATACACTTCTTTCAGACCAAGAAAAATTTAATTATCATGCTTTGAGAATTTCATTTTGTCTTGCTTGATGCCTTTTTTTTTCATAAATATGTACTTTAATTCCTGAATATAGGCCTTGTCTATCCATTGTGTTTTCATTTAAGTAAGAACATATTAAGTTTGCAGAAGACCAAAAGTATTTTTTAATGAAGAGATATAAACTAATAGAGGTCCTTTCCTTTTTTATATGAGACATATAGACAATATGAAAAGTACAATCATTGCATGTCAGTTCAATAGTGGCTTCTGTTCATATATTGTCATATTTTAATCAGATAATAAAATTTGTTCAATCAATGTTATGAACTCTATTTTAATTATATTTTAATTATACCATAGAGTTGGTTTTGATCCTGAAGTATCTGTTCTAAATTTAAAAACTTTGGATCTGAAATAATTCTGACTGTGTCTAGCTTACATTGTTTAATAGTAAAAGCATATAAATGTAAATGAAGGTAAAAATACTAAAGTAATTTATGTTGACTTAATATGTTGACTTAACCATATATGTGTACGTGTGTGTGCATTTTACCCATAGGTTAAATAAATAGAAGTCTTAAAACACAGCAGTCACTATCCCATTCAATTCTCTCAACAATCCTGTAAGTGTGGCTATATCATTTAACATTCAAACCGGAATATTTTGGAGAGTGCAAAGAGACACTGTTGTAATTTGGGATAATAGGAAAAACAAGCATGAAAAGTCACCCTACCTATAGAGTATAAGTTTTCCTGACTAACCCATCACAGGATGCCTGATTCTTCTCTGCAGTCATTACCCTATTTAAAATGAGGAAATCAGCATTTAGAGAGACAAAGGAACTTACCTAAATCATATATCTATTAAGCACATTAGTTGGAATTCAAACTTGGGGCATGTATGAGGGAGACTACTATCACAAGTAAAGAAAATATACTTGTTTCAGAGAAGAAATTATTGTGTATTATCATTGGTAAAACGTACCTGTTAATGTTTAATTTTGAAAAATATATGTCTAGAAAGATACATAAACAAACAGCTAACAACATTTACTCAAGGAGAATGAGTGGTTGGAAATGGAGAGGCTTTTACTTTATAATGTATATATTTTTGCACTATCAGTACCATACAACCCACCCCCTTATTGTTTCCCAAGTAGCTAATGAACATGCATTGTTTTACTTAAAGAAAAGTGGTCAACAGTGTTAAATTTGAACTTTTTTTTTAATGAGGCAGACAAAAGTTAACTTGCCTAAAAGTATTACACATATAAAAATCAAATTGAAAACATAAATGATATCCTGCCTTGAAAGTTTTAATAAAGATTACACTGATTTCAGGTTTATCATAACTTGAGCCTCTATTTCCAGTTTTAAATAAAAAGCTTTAAAAGGCTTTAATTGTATAATTAAATTATAAAAAGTATATTCATATACTGGTGAGAATAAAACTAGTTTGTATTAAATACTTTAAAAATTCAATTAATTAAATAATAGACTTTGCTTTTCAAATCTAATTGAGATTTTATCCTTTTTTTCCAGCTTTAGCAAGTTTTTGCTTTAGATAAATGAAGTGATTAGCTTAATAAGTTATTAAGCTTATATGTTTGTATAGAAACAAGGGAAGGTTCACAATGATAAGATGATCCATGTTACTGTAAGTCTGAAGTAAATTAAAGCCCTTTTGAAGTCAAATTTGAGTTCTGTGAATTCCATACCTCAGCGACTCATCTAAATTATGACAGATTCTTTGTTGAAAGCATATTGAAAAGTTTAAAATATTGGAGGAGAAAATTATATGTTTAAAGAAAATATACATAAAATATGTATCTGAAATATTGTCCTTTCCGTAAGGTACAAATCCAAGATAACCAAATCAATCGTATAATTGTAGCTTACTTTTCTGTATAGGGATAAAAAAAGAAACAATACTAAAAGAGAATCATTGGCAACTTCAATTAGAATTATGGCTACTTGTGGTACTCTCTGTATAGAATTAGGATCAGTTAAGCTTTTCTTACTACCCAGGAGCTTTGCAGCAAGTACTTTGGTAACTGGAAGCTATCAAGTTGGAAGTGAGGAATTGATAGAAATTGTGTATGTGTTTGTGCTTGAGACATATGTGTTAGGATGCGGGAATTTTTTTCCAAAGACCTTTGAAAGATACCTTGAAAGTGATAAACAGCTATTAATAATGTTTTATACAGCATAGTGAAATAACTCTCATCATTATTTTGGAAAAACTACAGCAGATATAATAAAAACAAATTATTTTGTAATTACTTGCCTTTGGCTTTCAACTTGAAGCTTTAAGATGTATGCTTTTTGAATCAAATGACTCCTCTTTCCCCCTTCACTATATAATCTACTACTCAGAATGATATCAACAACATATTGAACCTGAATCATTATTGATTATGAATGATGGTTGCCGATGACAGAACAACTAAAACACAAGGCTCAAGTGGTAAGATGTGGCAGAGAGAAAAATAGAAGGAATTTGGAAAGAATGCAAAGAGAAACATTGTTTTGTGTGTGATTCACTGTCCTGATTATGTGGAAGCTGAAAGTTGCTCTATTGTTTGGCATTTAATCTTTTTTAAGAGCACCTACCCTGCCTTGGGGTTGCCTAAACTGATACATGGGAAGCAGTGGGGAGGACACTGGTGTCAGAGGACTCTCTTTCCTTCATTCTGTAGCCCCGCTATTATCTGCTGTGCTTCCAGAAATGAGAGCAAGGGAGAGAGGGGGGAAGACAGATGACTCCTTGGTGTCTCCCTGCTGTGGCTAGATGATTGTACGCTTCAGGAAAAAAAGAAATGAATAATCTGATTTCAAAAAATCCCTCACCCAAACTTGATCCTAAGCTAAATATTCTGAAAAATGACAGTTTTAGGTTAACTTCCATTTCTTTTGATGCTGCTACCCTTTGCTCCAGTTTCTAGTTGAAACTTTAAAGTTCATACTCCAAAAAAAAATCACATCATTGTGATATTCCCAGTCAAAATTAAAGTGAAAATTGCAACTAGTCTCATAAGGATCCCAGAAAGAGGAAGGCTTCTCACTTCTCTTAAGCACAAGATATTTGGGAAAACTTCAAAAGTTTTTAAATGAAAATGAATTTAAAAATCACATAAAATTCTTACCTGTATCTCAAATTATCTGAGGAGTCTTCTACCTCTACTCAAAGTCCTATAATTGTTACCAAATCAAAGGTAAAATGCAATTGAAGATAGTCTAGGAAAGAAAACATTTCATATAACTAGAATAATGGTAACAACACAGAACAATGATACTAAAGATAGTTTCATGCTTTGTTTATTTCCTGGAAGCTGTTATCTTTACATAAAGTGGTAGCACATTGTGATGGCTACTAGGAGAGCTGGCTAAGTATTGATGCCAGTAAAGTAAAAAATTCTCTAGATGTCATTCTTTTACTGACAATAATTGCATGGTTTTTAAAAAGAAGTCTATTTAAAGTTCTGAGCTGAGGGACTACACTCACCTACTTAAAGTAAAATTTATTTTTTTCAAATAACTAAGAAACATTGTGATTAAACTATACCTAACTCTGGCTTTGATAAGGTCATCAATATTATCTTGTTCAATTTGACCCAAACTTTATATATGTACTCTTATTTTTACACATATATGAGATTATAGTCTGTTGAATTCTCTCCTAATTCAATTAAATTATATCATATTAAACTGAAAAGTAAGTTGTTTATATCTACCACTCCATCCCTCACGGATTCATCCTTATTTTTTCTTTATTTTTAGCTAGTCTGGACAATGAAGATTTTCCTTACGGTCAGCATCAGCTAACTTTCTTCTATAGCTAGATTCAGCATCCTTCTTTGACCCTTAACCCTGTGCTAAGACCAGATGATCTCTCAGGGTCTCTCTGCTCTGTTTGTGACCATCTTGTGAGGAGATAGCCTCACCTGTCCATCCGGCTTACCTAACGGGCTGTCAGTCAACTACTTGCAACACGACTAATGTCTCTGCTGGCTTCCCATTGCTGATTTGATGGGATTTAGGTGATAGCCCAAATGAAACTACTTACATATGCCTCTATGACTTGTTGCCAGTTCTTGGTCAATCTTATCCTCTGACTCATATTTTTAATAGTAGCTAGACTCTTGAGAAACAATAAGTGAACTCTGTATAGTCCCTCAAATACTCTTTCAAAAATATTCATTGAGAACCTGGTATTATTTTTTTCTGGTAAAAGGGAAAGGAACCAACGTCAAGACTCCACAGAAGTTATGCTTCTGAATGTAACTTACCTGGACCAGGATATAGAGGAAAAAACAAAATGTGTGTTCTTTGAAAAGATACAGACACACACACACACACTCCAAAAAAGTATAAAATAGAAGTAGAAATACAAATGAAGAGGATGAATATAAAACACTAAGATGAAACACAAAATTCAATAGAAGAATTATAATCCCCATGGGCCAAAATTTAAACACTATCATCCAATTTCCTCACCAAAATCAGTTTATTTTACTTTGCATAACTCTTGCCATTCTTGAAAATAAAGCTTACTTGAAGGCTTTTGTTTCATAATGCACGTACTTTTTGAATACATATTCAGGTGCTTTGTCTGCATGTTGTTCTTTGTGTTGAGCTGTGAGATTCTACTTCCATAGTGGGTACAACTTTGGTTCTATTTCAGGTAGTCTTAGAAGAATGCACAGCTGCCTCTTTCTGTGAGCTCCACTTCTGCAATCACTTTGTTCCACAAAGCCCTTGTGGTTGGGTTGCTCCATTCAAACTCTAATCCCTAAAGTGAGCAGTGAGCCTTGCGGCCTTCCATGAATGCTCATTCTTCCCCTCCCGGCAATAAGACTCCAGATGAGCTCACCAGTCAACTCTTGTTATCCTTCACCACCTCTGGGCTGATGGGCACTTGAGACATCCTGTATACTGTATCCTCTACTGCCAAGTGCAGGCTGTGGGGAACTAGAGATCTGCTCCCGATCTAATTGTACCATTCAATCTTTTCTTTTCTACTGGGCCAACACATAATATTCCTCTTTTCTTTTCAAGCCATCTACTGCCCCTGGCCTCACTGTCTTTTGGGGTTGGGAATTCAAAAGGAGTCCTCAGTGTTAATATCCTTCTATCGTGCCCTGACACTTTCCAGTGTTTGAAAGACTTTCCTTTCCCTTGTGATAAGAACTCCTCCTATCTTATATGCTTCTCTTCTTCGAGGTGACACCTGCCCTTCTGATACCTAATTCAATAATGTAAAAAGGGCTGAATGAAATGGACACAAATTAGCAATAAAGAAAAACATGCACATGAGGAGCAATTGTGTTAGTGTAGGGGATCAAATATATTATCTCATATTTTATGGAAGATAAATCTTATATTTTTTCCTAAAGAAATTAGAGAAGTACAAAGACCACGATGGGAAAACATTCCCTCTGAAGCCCAGATAGCCTTCTGTTTATGGAAGGTCTTTACATCCTTGCCTGATAGAAACTCCCCATGCCATGTACTTTGCTTTCCCTAGAAATATTCACCCCTAAGTGCCATTGCTACCCTAGATGATAATAGTTGAAAGGCTGCTTCAAAAGAAATCATAATAGAAAAAGGTGGGGGTTGATTGAAGTGGGGTAGAAAAAAGTATTCTTTTTTCATCATAGAATAGAGGCATATGAACGCTACCAAAGAAGAGAGAAAAACACTGATTAAGGAAAAATGTTTGGAGAAGTAGAGATGTAGCTTAAGTATACAAAGGTTTTGATAAAGCTAGACCCTTAGAACAGAA